CCGGGCGCGGTATAAGGGAGGCTGGCTGCGGCGTGCGGGTCTCGGCGCTCGGTAGCGGTAGCCAGGAGAAGAGGCCTGCTGGCAGGGCGGGCGCGCAGAGGAAGGACCCGCGAGGCACAGCCATCCTGCCGGTGTGAGGAGATTTGGAAAGGCCCCGCTCAGTGGTAGCGCCCGCGGCTGGGCTAAGGCAACAGGCGGGGGGGAAGGTGCTTGTGGTGCAGAAGCAGGTTTAGAGCCCACAGCGGAGAGGAGGTGGGAATCCGGGACAGTTTCTGCGGGGAGACTTAGGACATATGGCTGTTGGAGAGGGAAGACTGCAGTCCGCTTACACTCTTCTCCCCCGCCCCCAATCAGTCCACTCCTAGTTGTAATCCATTTTAAATATGATCGCTGAAAGGAGAACGGTAGGGAGCAGAAGGAGCCAGGCTGATTCATAAAGGAGAACAACCCGGTAGCTGTAGGCAACCTGAGTGCTGTCAGTGACCTCACCGACAGGGTGCAGGCTCATATAGCTTAAACGTGGTAGGGAGAGCCAGATGTTAGCAACAAGATTTATTGGTAGTCCCGAGAAAGGTGAGCTATGAGCCAGGTCTGATGAGGAATCTATTCGGGAGCAAAGGGGGTGATGCCAGAGGACGTGCTAGGGTAAAAGTAACACTGTGGGTCTAAAGGAACTGTCTATAATACAGAGCCAGAGAGGGAAAGGATGATAAGGTTACTTACAACATATGTTTGAAAGCCCTCAGTGAGGTAGGGTTAGATATCAGGCTTAAAACAAGCACACCTACAAAATAGGATAGGCCCAGGCCTGAGCTTAAATGGAGCTCCTGGGCCTATGGGAAAGGGTGGGTGTGGAAGCCCCAGATGAGGCTGCTGAGGACAAGCATGACCTGTTAGTGTACTCAGGATCCTGATAAGGAGGAGAGTTCATTCAGCTGTTTTATACTGCAGTGGCTTTAAATTAGTCATTTCTCTGCTGAACTTTATTCTGTGCAATAGGGGATTCGCTCTGATGGATGTAGTGCTCTGTTCTTTTTGTCTTTGTGATGGGGCTTTTTAAAAAATATCTTCAGTGGAGTGTACTATAAAGCCTGATGAGAGTAAAGAAAGAAGAGGCCTATGTTAAAAGTCCTGAATTAGAGCTACTAGGGTCAAACAAGCAGCTGCAGTAGTAGGTAGGTAGTGTTATGCTCTTTATGTTTCCTCTGTCTAGCTCTCTATTCTTAACCATTTCCAAATAGAGCTGTGCCCTGCTCAGGTTCTGTTCCCCTTGTGTGCAGTTAGGTAGTTCTTGCTGAACACCCCTGTGGGCAGGCTCTGCCTGGAAGAGCTCACCTGTTGCTGCTGTCTCTGGAAGGTGCCACGTTTGCGCTGCTGGGGAAATAAAAGCAGCTCTTGTAGTGGTAGACTGTACTGTAAGATTCTGTCATTTTATACAGGTGATGTTGCCTGTGGTGTAGAAAAGGGATGTCCAGCTGAGGGCTTGTTAAATATATGTACTTTGTTTTCAGATGCCCCTGATATGGCCTGACTCTGTTATGTATGGAATAATTCAAGGCTGCATTGCAGAAAGGAAACTGTTTCCAGGAACTGGTATTTCTCTCAGTTTTTGTAGCTTCCATCCACAGTAAGCTACAGCTGCAAGCTTCATCTGCAAAGCTCAGCACAAGTTCTGTGCTTTTGTCTGCATAAGAAAGGAAGAGATGTAGCCGTTGCTGGTAAACCATCCTTATTTTAAGCCCTGCTATCTGAAGTAACTGCTGTGAGGAACCAGGGAAATTACTATCTGTGTTTGCTTCACTGGCTCACTTTGCTTCTCACCTGATTAGTAAGCATCTCCCTCTCGTGCCAGGCCTTTGCTAGTTAGGTCTGTTCCCAGATGCTGTGTGTCTGCTGCTCTTCAGAGGTGTGTGGCTGTCTAGGTGTGTTCCCCTGTGTTGTGCCTGCAGCTGTCCAGATGATCTGGTAGGGCAGTAACCATGCAAGGAGAGCTGTTTCACTCTTGTAATTCCCCAAGGCAGTAGTGGGAAATCCTGGAATCTAAAACACAAGCAAATTGCAACTGATCTATAATACTGCTCGTGAATTCCTTTGCTCCCCTCACCTATTCATCAGGTCTTTTCAGTCCTTCCCCTTGACTGATGTATCTCTTTGGGTGAAGCTGCAGGGAGAGCTATTCACCTCAGAGCATTCCTGTAAGAGATCTGTGCTTTTCCCATTCTTTTTGTGGCCAAGAAAAAGAGAGATGGCATGGGTATTCAAACACTTACTGAATCCTTTCCTTGTTACCCCTCAAAAGAACCTAGAAAAAAAAGCAGTGGCTCCAGAAGGAACAATCTAGTCCTTTTCTTTGGACACGGATAAGATAGACCCTTGAGAATAATGCTGCAAATACAACTGTGTTCACATGCTGCAGTGAATTAAAGGGAGGTATGTTGGCTTGTAAAGTCAATTTTGGGTCAGGGAGGAGGAAAGGCTCCCTCTATTTCCTCATTTCGTTCTTAATTCATTACAAGCTGTCTTAACTCCCTGAGGCCAACCTAATGTTCAAGGGTGTGAAGGGGCTTTTGCCTCAATTTGTCATCTAAGTTTTTAGGTGGAGGGTGCTGTAAAGGTTGCTGAAACAACATACTAGCAGTTATTTTACTTAAACTTCTTTGGGGAGGCACATTAGTGACTTAGGAATTTTAAACCCTAAAGAGGTTTCCTGTGGGCTTTGCATCGATTAAATAAAATACATAGTGTGCTAAGTGACACTGCTACATATGGAGAAGCCCCATAGGTTCCCACAAAGCAGGAAGCTGACTCTGCTAGCCCTTTGATACTTCAAGGCTTTAGAGAGAGAAAGAATTTAAAAGCTCATTCCAAGGAGCATGTTGAAATCCTCATCAGAGAGATGATTTTGTTGTTAATGTTTTATTTTGAAAGTTAGAAGATAAACAGCTTTACAAGGGAAAACAAAATCATATACATGATTATCCATCTGTTTTACTAGTTCTTAATATATGTGTATTGTTCCATAATAGTCAAAGAATTTGGCTAGAGACTCTAGTTTGCAACTAGTGAATTTTTGTCCCTCACATAAATCCCAATTAGATTCTATATTTACATGCTTCTCCAGTGCCCAGGTAGTTTTTATTCTATGTATATTTTTCAGGATTATTCCAATGAGAAAGTGCTGGTTTCTTCTCTGCATACCTGGAGCTTCTCATAAAGCTGTATCATCAGGAAGTCTTTTTTTTATGCTAGTACTTTATTATTGTGGGAACAAACGCTGTGTTTTTGGAAGACAGGCTGTGGCACACGGTTTGTAAGCTTAAAGTCAGTTTTGGGAAAAGAAAGATATGGAGGTAACAGTTTGACAGGATTGATTAGTAGGAAACAGTTGGTTCCTTACTGTTTGTAACCAGCTCTGTTCTAACTCTAGTGTTTGTGACATTAAGCTGCACACAGAATGTCCTCTGAGTGCTTGGGGGTGACTGACCTGACTGGGAAACCCGATGTACAGGGAGTTTGCATTTGCTTTGCTGAAGTGCATTAGCGACAGACTTCAGGGGTTCTCAGCAAAGATGTTTCTGAATGCAAATCAGTGCAAGTTTGCAAAGGAATCGACTGACTTATTTAGGCAGAATCTGTTGCTTTGCCTTCAGAGACAAAATTAAATTGAGTCCTACTGTCTGAACTCTGGCAGTGTCTTCCACTGCTTATTTTATCTGTACTCAAACATGAGTGTAGTCATATGGAATTTGGTAAACTGAGGTTAAAAGGCAGCATCTTCTAGAGGAAAACAGAACATCAGGTGGCTTCATTCCGTGTGGAACAACTTACTTTTCCCCAAGGAAAAAATAGAACTCCTTGCTCGTGGGAGACAGAAGTCAAAGCCTAAGTTAAGGGTGTGCACAAAGCAGGTCTCACTTGTTCTCCACAACCGTTGCTCTAAGTGATTATGGATATGGGGTTTCTGTATCACCTTTCCTCGTTGTAGCGCTCTTTTCCTCGGCCGCCTATGGAATGAATCCACGGTTGGAGCCAGGGGGGAAAGGGAATGGCCCTCCTCGGGCAGGGGAAGACCGCTGCGTGCCTGGAAGGCGATGCGGAGCCGAACGCAGCCGCCCTGTGCCGCGCGCTGCCGGGGCGTCGCGGGCCGCCCCCCACGGC